CAATTCAGTTTTTCCTCCTCTTCACAATTCTTTTGATGTACCTACTGTGTTAATTATTAAATACAGTGTGTTATTTTAATATTTCGAATAAATGTAAATGTTTCCTGAAGCCGAACCTGGATTTTCACTCCGCCCGATAGGTGAATGAATTTAACGTCCCAAGTATAAGCTCCTCACCAAATTTGAGAAAAATATACTGGGTAGGTCGATACATATAGAATAATGAATAATTATTCGAAATCGATAAATCGCCCTGTATCTCCGTTATGAAGACTCTAAGACCTATCAAATATGGTATTTTCAGAACCACCTTGGTAACCCCTATCTACCATTGAAATATTTCCCTTTACCTGTAAAACACCCTGTATAGAACAGACATTTTGTTGAAACTATTTTTGGAACAAGATCCCCAAATATTAATGAGATAGTTAATTCGACTGAGTACATGTGAATAGAGAATGATATTTGATGTATATGTACTAAGTTTAGGACATCTTCTCAAAGCACCAATAATGGGAGATACTTTTCCTATGAGGATTTCAATATGCTTTCCCCAATGATTTGCACCGAATTGAAGTACTTCCTCTTTCAATCTTTTATCTGATGGCATGTCATAATGACAACGTTATGTCACTCAATTTTGATGACATAAGGAAGCTCATTATGGGACTAAGTACCATAATGAATTCATTATGGTACTAAGTACCATAATGAAATTCTATAAGGAAAACATGTAATGGTTTAAGTCATGGAAACCATCCATTCTCAAAGTGGCCCAGTATTTTTCAAAGGGAGAAAAACAATAACTCAAAGTCGGTCGACCACAAAATTTAATAAAAGGAGTGACTATAGTTTCGGCTCAACGGCCATCTTCAGACACAATGTAAAAAAGTACCTAGAAAATTATAATAAGTTGTTAAATCTAGACAATATGGTGGCTGCGAAAGAACATACCTTATGGAGAAAAGTATACTAATTAAAAACTAACTAGTAGGTCAGCATGTGACCTATTAAGCTTAGTTCTCAATCAAAATTTCTTTCAATTCAATGATAAATTTTACAGACAAACAACTGGCCTGGCAATGGGTAGTAATCTTTCTCCATTATTAGCAGAAATTTTTATGAACAACTTCGAGAAGCAATTTTTAAATAATCCTAATTACAATTCAAACTTAGTATTTTATCATAGATATGTTGACGATTGCTTATTACTTTTTGAAGGCGACATTAGGGTTGTTCTCAATTTCCTAAATTACATTAACACACTGCATCCTAATATCACATTTACTATGGAATCAGAAATTGATAATTCTTTGCCCTTTTTGGATTCATTAATTATAAAAAATTCACATACTCATAGGTTTGATTTTGAAATTTACAGGAAACCAACAGCCACAGATTCAGTCATACCATTTAATTCCAATCATCCTTTTTCACAAAAAATGGCATCCTTCAATTGTTTTTTCCACAGAACTTTTTCATTACCTCTTTCTCAAACAGCCTTTGATAAAGAGATCAATATTATCAAACAGATTGCCTTGAATAACCATTTCCCACTTGATTTGATCATGAAGTTATATATCAAATTTTACACTAAACATAGATTAACATTTAATGTCACATCCAGTCAAGTCGCTGACCCTCCCTTATATAAATCATTACACTATTTTGGCCATTATTCCATTCAACTAGCAAAAATGTTCAAATCTCTTAACATTTCTATTTCTTACAAAACTTCTTCTAATTTGAAACATTTATTATTTAACTCCAAAGATAAAATTCCGCTTGTAAAGAAATCTGGTGTTTACAGACTCAATTGCAAGAATTGTAATGCATCCTACATTGGTCAGACAGGTAGGAGTTTTGAGATTCGGGCCTCTGAACACAATAGACTTATCCACAAATTTCTGAACTCAGAAAATCACAATACCACATCTTCTTTTGCCAACCATATCATTGATTCAAACCATAGTTTTAATGTTAATTCTAATATGGATATTATACATGTTTGCAACAAAGGTCCACGGCTTAACCTTCTTGAGATTTTAGAAATTCAAAAATGCATCAATAATCCTCAGAGTATTTGTTTAAATGATCAGACCAACTTTGACCGTAATCATATTTTCCGTACATTACAATTTTCATAATAATCACACATTGGTTTCCCTGCGCTAGAGCCTGTCCTGTATCCTTTATCTTGACAGAATGTTGGTTCTTCTGCTTCTCTTTCTTTATCATAATCATTTATTCTTCTTTCTTGAATTTTGTTTGCTCTTCTTGACCCTTTTCGCGTACATCTCTATCATCAATTATTGTTTTTGTTTACATAGTTTTATTGAATTGTATAACTTTTTAGCGTCAATAATGTCAATTTTTGAATTTGAAACTCATCTTTCATATGTTTGACTGTCATTCAAAATGTTTTACGCTGACTTTGAAATTGTCATTTTGTGATGTCAATGTCAAATCATCACTTCCATTTCACCTACGGCGTTGTCTTTCCTGTTGATGGCCTGACCGCTGATGAAGCTCCGTTGAGTTGATTAATTAATCAAAATTTTTTGAATTTTCTAATGTTGAACTTACTCATCGTAATGTTCTTTTGGCTTTTCAGCCGTTTTAAATTTTACTAGTTCCAATTTGGACGGATGATTCGATGCTGACCTACTAGTTAGTTTTTAATTAGTATACTTTTCTCCATAAGGTATGTTCTTTCGCAGCCACCATATTGTCTAGATTTAACAACTTATAATTTTCTAGGTACTTTTTTACATTGTGTCTGAAGATGGCCGTTGAGCCGAAACTATAGTCACTCCTTTTATTAAATTTTGTGGTCGACCGACTTTGAGTTATTGTTTTTCTCCCTTTGATGTAATGGTTTGATCAAAAAAGTTTATTCAAAATGCATAACTATGTACAAAACTATTTATTATAAATGGTAAAAGAACAATTACTACAATTTGTAATATTAATATAATGGCAAAGCACAGCTCACTCACCTACTAATATTTGAAACTACACAATACTTACTCCTTTAAAAATAGTTGTCATTGTGACATGTCGAAAATGCAGTTTTTAATTTTTCGAAAATGTATTGATATAAATGCCATCAGATAAAATTTTGTATGTAATACGAATCATAAACAATCATTATGGCACACGCCGTGTGATAACATTCACGACTTGTACCATAATGATCGTCTTTATGATCCTTATTACATAAATAACTATTTCCGTCGACCTCGTATTAACGACTAAGTTTAATGTATATGAAATCGTTCATTAATGACCCCTATTAATGGACGATTTGTCTATTAATGCACGATTGTTTTATAGGCAACCAAACGTACACCGCGTGCATTCATTGTTTATGCTATAACTAGCGGAATCTGCATTTAAATCGAAAATATGGATTTCATCGACGATTTTCCGTTAACGGGTTCGCCTTTCCAAGTTTCTGACACGATTTTATTCCCTGTTTTCTAACACAAGGAATTTATTTCCTATGTTGATCATTTCGACAAATGTCAAATGACACTAATGTCAGTAACAAGGTTACTGGGTGATTCTTAGCAGTTTCCGGATGGATGATGAATTCGCGAACCAAGCTTTCTTCATTGCAGGAGAAATGAGAAATATAGTCGACGGAAAAATCTTGTAACCAACTTATATATTAAAAGGCGATTAATGATCTCGAACATTAACGCACTCGCTTCGCTCGCACGTTAAAATATCTCGATCATTAATCGCCCTCATTAATATACTAGTTGGTTAAATAACTATTATAATCTCAAAGATTTGCTGGTTGATTACAAGACTATCTTTTCACATGTCAAAATCTGACATTTCAACAAAAGGCATTAACACATGCATGAATTCAATTTAAATTTGAATATAACTGAAATATAGTAGTAGTAGTAGTAGTAGTAGTAAGTTATGTTGTAATACATCAAAAAACACCGTTTGATTAAGTAACAAATTCATGCAACGTTCTTACATAGCATTCAGAGGCGAACTCGCGTATATCCAATACTTACCTCATAATCCCTTATCCTATGTTGCCAGCTGTTTCATTTCAAGGAAATTAGTGAATATTTCTTCATTTTCGAATGGATCCAACTGCCGCCATTGCCAACTACCGCCATTGCCAACTACCGCCATTGCCAAGTCTATGAGTTTATAGCTGGCATGATTACTAATTGAGTAGGTTTGTAGCACGTTGCAGAGGTTCAATCACCAGCAACAAAATTCAGTCTTATCCTTGATTATATTCGATTTTATCTGAGTTAATGAACTGAACGACTTTTGAATAGGTACTTGCCAATTTACTGAACCACATGTCATAATATTTCACTATTCAGTTCATATGAAAACATGAACGAGTGAGTTGAGAACTGTTTTGCTTCATCCATGACATTATTGTAATCAGCTGAATCTTGAGAGCGACGAATTTCAGAATATCCAAGCAAGTTGAATAAGAATCGGTTGAGACGGCAACGCTGTTTTCGTCACTATATCCTCCAGTACTGCTGACGATTTCTGTCGAGTTCTAACGGGAGCATTTCTTTGGAAATTCATTTCATTTCGGGCAATCTAGAAAAAATAGAACGATCAGTATTTTTTCTACGAATTAGCGATCTTGCCTATTACCTTCGTATGACTTTCTATTTTTTTTACCTATATCCTATGTGTAACAATCAAATCAACTATTTATCAACTCCTCGAGAGTACAAAACGTAGGTACCTCTGCCTTATATTTTTGAATATATTTATTTACGTGGTCGGCCAACTTTTTGTTCGTTTGCACTGCTATAACAGACAGTAGAAAACAATTGCTATGATACACTTTTTGGGAATTTCTCCTAGCTTTCTGAAATTATAAGCAGATCATTCATAGAACTCATCAATGACAGATGATAGACTGAAACGGATAATTCCAAATGATCACCACGAATCCCTCATTGTATCCCATTCGCAAACCTAACCTAAAAATGTTTCAGTGGTGACAGGATCGACGAGCGAAGACAATTCGCAGATCTTCGTGATGAACAACTATTTCGGCATCGGCATCGACGCAGATCTCTGTCTGGATTTCCACAACGCGCGCGAAGAGAACCCCGGCAAGGTAAACATCCACTACAATGACAACATCCCAGCAAACACAGTTACATCACAGAGATGTCGCAGTGATGTAACAATTGTGACCTGCGATATCGCATTCTATGACGCAGAGACGTCGATGCAATTTCAGAGGGATGTTATTTTGTTCTACTCGAGTTTCATCCATGCGATGTCGCTGCGATAAGTTCTTCGCGATATAACAGCGATATATTTTTCGCAATGTGATTGCGATAAGTTATTTGTGATGATAAATCGATGTGCTTTTGTGATGAATCTATGATGTGATGCGAGATGACATCGCACAAAAACAAAAAAAAAGTTTCTTCAAACGAAGCTTATGATAATAGAGACACCACCGACTTCTGATGACATTTTATTTCATATTGATCATGTGTTTTTGTGACTGCTATTCAATCATTCTTTCAGCGGCGCTATCCTTATTGCTACCTACGAATCTCTATCAGAATGAGATCAGTATTACTCCTATTTGTATAAAAAATTATGTAGTGTTTGTTGGCGAGATGTAAGCAAACCTAGAATAATTCGATACCAATGTAAGTTTGCAAATTCACCTTCACTTTGTTGAGTAACGTATTTTCATCTATTTTTTTCACCGAACACGTATGTAAATAACAAATTTTCGAATAATTCTAGCAGTTGAGTCTGCTTCTGTACAGGGTGTTCAGTTAAGAGTAGCAAACGGCCATATCTCATAAGATATTGGTCGTATAGGTTTGCGAAAATAAAATATGGTAAAAGTCGCCAAGAGAAATTGCTGGAAATTATTTTCGAGTTTGTCAAACGTCCGGTAGAGGGCGTAACAACCAACACCAAGTAGAATACTGGGATTTTTATAGAATTTTGTCCCATCAAAGTATACCGATGATATCATTTTCATATTCACTGGTTATTTCCCTACGTTTTTTGTCTGAAACGTTTTGTTCTATCTATCAAAATGAAGCGGTGGGAAGAGTTCAATTATTTTTTCAAACAAACCAAAATTTCTCCCGTTCATCTCAACCAATTTTAGCAAACTTAGGCTCATATGAAAGAGCATGATTTGCCCTACAAAACTCTCGTTTGGTTTTGGATTTTTGACTTTCGCTGTCGGCGCTAGATGGCGTTAACTGAAATGTTAACAATCTTTTTAGTTATTTAAAAAAAAATGTAATGGTATATTAATTTTTATATATGTTTTGAAAGAGGATACATTCCTCTATAATTCAATGAAAATTTTGTAGGGCAAATTATGCTCTTTCATATGAGCCTAAGTTTGCCAAAATCGGTCGAAATAAACGGGAGAAATATTGGTTTGTTTAAAAAAATCAATTGAACTTCCCCCACCGCCTTATTTTGATAGATAGAACAAAACGTTTTCGACAAAAAATGTAAGGAAATGATCAGTAAATATGAAAATGATATCATCGATATACTTACATTAGGGAAAATTCTATAAAAATCCAATTTTTCTACTTGGTGTTGGTTGTTACGCCCTCTACCAGACGTTTGACAAACTCGAAAATAATTGCCAGCAATTTCTCTTGGCGACTTTTATCATGTTTTTTTTCCTCTCAAATCTATACGACCAATATCTAATGAGATATGGCCGCTCACTACCCTCAAACTGATCACCCTGTACATCAGAGTGATGCAACATTCGTAATATCGTAGTGTTGCCCCATCGCGACTTCTCAGAGATGTCATGTCGCAGATCTGTTCAGTTCTGTACATCGCAACGATGGAACATTAGTAATATCGCAGAGATGTCGTGTCGCAGATGTGTTTGTTTATGAACATCATAGTGATGCAGATTTCTACCGTCATCTGATAAAGAAATTATATAATATGTCCAAAGGAATGTGAAAACATTATTGTTTATCGAACGACACCCAATCACTATCTTGAGCAAAATTATCAAATAATTGGTACTTTACTGTGCGAAAGTTTGCACTCGATTTCGCGATTTGATACCGAGATAAGAATTATACCATCTGATACCAATTAAATGGTAGATATCGAAAGCCTACCTGTGCCACGCCTCGGTCTGAGCGGAATCCACGGCTCAGCGATTTATTTGCTCTTGTTATTCCGGACATACTCTTGTCATGTGATACTGAGTTGAAAAAAAAACAAATGCGAGGGAAAAATGTCCCTTTTACGAATAACCAAACGTGCCGCGTTTCAAACTGATCTAAGTTAATTTCAGAGCGTCAATATTTCCGTGAATATTTTGCCCTCGCCGAAAGATAATATCCGATGTGAAATTCATGTGGTGCTCACACTACAAGTATTGTAATACACATTTTGAGTTTTACACTGGTCCATCGGGTATTATCTTTAAAGGGTATCGAAATATTCTCTGGAATATTGACGCTATGCCAATAACTCAGAACAGTTTGATTCGCTGCACGTTTGGCTATTCGCGAAGCCGACATAATCCTCTTTCATTTGCTTCTTGTTTCAACTCGTCATCACATGATGGAAATCTGCCCGAAATATTAGCAGCAAATAAATCGCTGTGCCGTGGATTTGGCTCTGACTGAGGAGTGGCACAGGTTGCTTTTTGAAATCCACCATTAAATTGGTATCGGATGGCATAAGCCTTATTTCGTTTCAATCGCGAAATCGAGTGCAAATTTCCGCACAGGAAAGTGCAATTTTTCAATCATTTTGCTCAGGATTGTGTTTGGCACAGGTGCCGTTCGATGAACTACAATGGCTTCACATGCCTTTGGGACATATATCATTTCGTTATCACATGACGGCCGAATTTTGCAGCCGGTTCTTGGACTGAAAGGAACTGAAAAGGACGTCATTTTAAGTGGGGATGATACGTTTCCAGACGAAAAAATGTACCTCTTTAAGACTTACCGACATGTAGGTACTTGTCGCAATAATTTCACCTATATATTACCGTTCGTAGTTTATCAGCCGTTTGCACAACAAGAGCGTATACGTGAAGATGGGGCTGCGCAAGATGGTCGGCCCGAAGATGTGCAAAGATCTGCACAAGGAGGTCAGGTTGGAAGTGGATGGAAAGCTGGTGGAGCTGCCGCAGGTCGAGGGCATCATCATCTTGAACATTTTGAGGTTAGTTCGGCTTCTTCGAAATCGAATGCATTTTATTCCATCCACTACCATAACATAGATTATCCTTCATCTGATGTAACTATATTTTTTCTCAAGAGAAAGGAAAGTACCATATCAATTTATAGGTAAACATGTGAATATGTCTTGGGGTTCTCCTCTTCTTCTTAGAACCATGCACTCCTACTATAAATTGATATATTTTGTTCAAATTTGTATTACTCCGTTTTACACACAATATGTTCTCAAAGGTGCGGCCTTCATTTTAACAGATTGTAGTACTCAATATAATAAGTCATTTCACAAATTCATTCACTCTCTCAGCATGTCTCTCTCTCTCTCTCTGAATTTTCGAATATCCCGTATAACGAACGATTGCTTAGGACTTCCGAATCCACGTTCATACGTGATGTCGAGAAATTTCATGAATGTTTTTCGCCTTCAGATGAGTTAGTCATTTGTTCATTGTTATAATCGTTACATACAATATTTTTCCTACAACTGTTAAAAAAAGAAAACCTCATCAAACTTATGATGTGAATGATCAAATGATATTTCGCAATCATTACACGAGAGCTATTTTTGTCGAAGGAAACTTGACATGTATCAATAAGAATTTTGTTGCCTGGCAATTTGACGAGTCCGTAGGACGAGTGATTTTTTCTGGCAGTTGTTTGAGTTGAATTATCTAATGGCAACAATATTCGAATTGTAAATGCCAAGTTTACTTCGCCAAAAAAAAGCTACAGTTCAATTCGGTAAGACAATTTAATTCATCAAACATTCGTTTTTGTCTGGTTGTCATACTTTCAAAAGTTAGATTCCGTTATCGTCGCCGGAATAGTTGGGGAAAACTTTTTTCGCTGTCATAATTACAAAATCACTCGGCTTGAAGGATTTTTCATACATGAATTGAACTGTCAAGTACATATACTCATTTCATTTCACTTTATTGATAACGCTGGGTTTCTAAGGACGAATAAGCCAGGGCCACCTTTGGATTTGATCATCTCACGTTCAGCAACGAGAGCATATCATTATCTAATACGTTCTATTTCCACACTTTTCCGTAAAATGATGAAACAGTATTTTGGTATTGAAAAATTTTACACTTTGGGCACACAAAATATATTGAAAATGTGCAGTTTTTTTACAGTTGTAGAAAAACATGCGTCGTAATATTGATACACGTCCCAGAAGTTGAACTGAAAAAGTTTTTGTTCATAACGGGACTTCAACAATGATTGGAAACCACGTGACTGATTACTGTGAAACCAAAACTACATTTGTATCTCTTAAACGTTGGTGAAAAAGAGAAGCCGCATCAAAAATGGTCACGTGACACTCAATCTTGTTTTCTCCTCACCAGGACCATATTCCGATTTTTCTAAATTCAATACCAGGTTATTTTCTGTGTCGCGTGTCTTGTATCTTGTCGGAAAGGAACATTTCGATTTTTTGAAAATCAGAAGAACAAAAAGTCAGTTTTAATTACCATGATGACTATTTGAAATGAGTGTGTATCCGATTGGTTCGAAAATTAATGGAGGTGTTGAGTTTCCAATGCAACGTTAGGTTCATGTTATTTTTCAACGATTTTAATAATTTTATTGAAATATTGTAGAGGAATTCATAATGATTCCCGAACCTTGAATAAAAATGCTGCCAAAACTGATACCAGCCTAACCAAAATATTGTTTTGCTGATCTGAGTTGGTAACAGTTTTGGATCTGTGGAGTGATTACAGGAATATGCTTGATCAAGTTCTCTTGTATTACGAAGCCCCATATTCTGCAACATATTATTTTCTTGATTCATCCCAATTTATATTTCTTTGTAGTAGATACATATATACCATGTAGGGCAGAGCGGGTCACAGTGGCCATAGGGACACAGTGGCCACTTTGACTTTTTATGTTGGAAATATTTAGTCAAATATCTAACATAAAAACAGATTTTGCCACAAATTCTCACATCGAACATTCAACACGTGTGAGTTCTATGGCGGATGTGTTGTTTACTAGTGTGCTGCGTAAAATTCAGGTGAGTTTTGTTTTATATCAAAATGATGTTTAAAATTTGTGTATGTTACTGCATTTTTGAACATACATTGATAATGCTATGAACATGCTGATGTTGATCAGAGAATTGCTAAAAGATTCACAAAATCAATTGAAATATTTGGTTTTGTTTGTAGGTTAACTTTGTACACAGTGGCCATAGCAAATGAAGACACAGTGGCCACTACTTTTCAAAGTCATCAAGTAGTGGCCACTGTGTCCCATCTTAACATTCTCTCTCTCTTAACGCGGTGAATTTATATTCATTGTTTTAGTTACGATGTCACGGAAAAGAGTGCGTAAAACTAACATCGGCTTGACTCCCGAAAATGATATGAAAGCAGCGGTTATGTCAGTCTTGAATGGAGGACTGTCTGTGAAATCTGCAGCTATCCGTCATAATATACCACGCACAACTTTGAGAAGATATATTAAAAAATGTCGCGACAATGATTTGAACCCAGATGAACCACATTTTCCGAAAATGTGTCCAAATTATGACGTCAGAAGAATTTTTTCTAGAGAAGAGGAAGCGGAATTGAGTAGATACCTTGTGAAATGTGGACATCATGGTCTGCCACCTAACGCTGCCAAAAAGCTTGCGTTCGACTTGGCTGTGGCTAATAACAAAACAATACCTGAATCCTGGCACAAAAATTCATCTGCTGGTAAGGAGTGGTTTACCGCTTTTCTAAAAAGGAATCCTACGATTTCATTAAGAACTCCTGAATCAACATCCATAGCTAGATGTATGGCATTCAATAAGCCGATAGTCCACAAATTTTATGATGATTTGACAGCCATCTATGAACGATATCCAAGTTTGGGTCCAAACAGGATTTATAATACAGATGAGACGGCACTCACCACCGTTCAGGAATCTACAAAAGTTATTGCCCAAAGAGGTCAAAGAGGAGTGGGCCATGTTACTTCTTCTGAAAGAGGAACCCTTGTTACAATGTGTGGAGCAATCAACGCTTTGGGAAATTGTGTACCACCACTTTTGATTTTTCCCAGAGTGAACTTTAAAGAGTTTATGATAGAAAATTCTCCACCAGGTACGATTGGTGCTGCTTCACCCTCAGGGTGGATAAGTTCAGCAATATTCATTCAATGGATGCATCATTTCATCAACTATTCAAAACCAACTCTAGATGATCCTGTTCTTTTGATCATGGATAGTCACGAGGCCCACTCGACCTATGAAGTCATCAGGTTAGCCAAGGATTCTGGGGTCATATTATTTACATTGCCCCCACATACAAGTCATAAACTACAACCTCTAGATAAGTGTGTTTATGGCCCTCTAAAGCGATACTACAATGACGCCTGCAGATCATGGCTCGCAACAAATCCAGGAAAAAGAATCACAATATACGATATTGCTGAATTATTGAATGTTGCATATCCAATGGCATTCACCCAAAAGAATTGTGTATCAGGTTTCAAAAATACAGGAATTTTTCCTTTGAATAAATATATATATGATGACAGTGAATTCTTACCTGCCGAAGTCACAGATATATCCCCTACTATTAATGTTACACCAGTAGAAGCAACGCTTATCAGACAACCTACGACTCCTCCAGATCAAGAAATACCATCAACTAGCACAAGACCACTAGTTCTTTGCAGATCAGAATCTCCTTCAAACGAAGATTCCATTTCCAACTTCATATCGCCCGAAATATATGGTGCGTCCATATCCCAAAGTTGAAACATCCGAGAGAGTTAAAAATAAAACTGGGCGTAAGAAGAAACATTCGGAAGTTTTGACGCACACACCAATCATCAATAGCATTCAAGCAGCTCAAATGGAAAAACAGAGAAGGAAGAGCATAAAGCGAAAAAAAATTGATAATAAACAAAATAAAACGAAACCAATTGCGGAACTTTTGGAGTCAACAAGTGAAAGCGAATGCGATATGTCAGATTTAACAGATTCGGATGATATCAGCATTTTCACTGATATTTCTGATGAGAACGCTGATCTCCAAGTAATTCAAACCAAAACATTTGTTTTAGTTAAGTTCATGTCAAAGAAGTCAGTGAAATATTTTATCGGACAAGTTGAAACTATATCTGATGACTCTACTGAACTTGTTGTTAACTTTTTGAGGAAAGTTGGAAATAAATTTGTATTCCCTATCATGAGAGATGAAGCAGCAGTGCAGCGAGAAGATGTTGTTAAAGTCATTCCGTCATCACGTGTGACCACCGGTGGTACCACCAGGTTACAAAACACTTACTAATTCAAAATGAATTTTGATGAGTATAATGTCATGTAATGATTATTGTTTAAAATGGTGATCGATAATCAAATCGATATGCTTTCAGCTCACCAATATTATCTGGAAACTGAGTTTTGAGTTTGATGGCCACTGATGCCTACTCATGTGACCAGTGTGCCCCATATTTGGTGTACAGTGGCAGTGGCCAGATTTACATTTTCTAGAAAATGCTCGTTTTTTTCTGTATTACTTCATTTGAGTTGAGTGATTAAATGTTTCTACATATTAGAATATGCCTTTATTTGACCTGTACAGTTTTTTCATGGAAACCATAATCCATAACTGAAATAAAAATGAAAATCTGAAAAAATGGCCACTGTTCCCCGCTCTCCCCTATCATTTACAAGCGATGAAAATATTGGAATGGATCGAAAACCAAACATATTGCAGGTAAATGTGGCTTTGTAAAGGGAACTCAATAAAAAAGTGAATAACGATTATTTCAACCATTGTGTAATTTTTGTATCTAGCTTAATTTTCGAGGAAATAAGGAAAATTCGATTTGTGCTTCAAATTTTAGTGTAGGCGTGTTTTCAAGACATTGATCGAGATCACTCAATAACCCCAATTAGAATCATTTTTGGATTTTCTGGCTTTCTCAGTCTCCAACCATACTGAATTTTAGCACAATGGAAGCACATAAAAGGGGTTTATAAATAGAATCAATCAATACTTCCAAGTTCAACATCCTGTAGCTCAAAAACGTAGCAACTTAGGAAACATGTTCATATGAACTTCATTCACTAGAATATCTCGAGGAATCATCCCTTGAATTTTTCAGGTGTTATTCATTTACACCCTGTATAATGGGTAGACGATTGAATGACGTAGGTAAAAACATATTACGAATCGACACCATTGGCCCAGTGCCGGCTGACTCATAGGCAAACGATTACATAATGTCATACAATAATGGGCCGACGTTTGACCAGTGCAACTTGGCCATGACTAGCAAATCTGTCGATCTAGCATGTCATGGGCCAGAAGGCGGCCAGAGATTTGATGTTTATTGGGTTGGAATTGACCATACTCATTTCGACTTGACTCGGCTGTAACTTGATGGAAATCCATGGCAAATGTAAAAACTCCTCAAACGATAAGATTTCGACAACATTCTCAAACACACGACTTGTTATTTCGCTAACACAGTAGCTTCGTCAGGTGATATTATGGTACAATGAACTCAACCAACCTTATTATAGCTTGCTCAAATTTTATATATCCTACTTTCAGTTACCTGTGGACAGATTCGATAAACCTTCATTTTCGGAAATTAGACACAATATCTACATTTAAATATCACCTACTAAGAAAACAAATCCAACAGTGGTGAATTATTTTGTGGAAATTTCATCGTTTGTGAAGTTTTTAAATTTGACTATACTTAGTTGATTCATTTTTTGTTGTTTCAGTTGGGGATCGGGAGCAAATCCTTGGGGTCCGGAAAAGGACGACCAATTTTCCAAACCTAACCATTGGGACGGTATGCTGGAAGTGGTGGGAGTAACTGGGGTAGTTCATCTGGGACAGATTCAGTCCGGATTCAGGACTGCCATGCGGATTGCTCAGGTAAATGTACAGTGTATCCCGATTTCGGTGCTTTTGCGTGATATTTCAGTTATCTTTAGAGATAGAACCTTGCGCTTTTCGCGGTCCTGTGCCACCATTTCACGAAAATCAAGATGGCCTCATGAAATCTTGCATATCTGTTTCCGTTCATGAGATACAGGGCTCCCTCTCTCTCCTCTTCCATTTGGTAAGATATTATTCTACTCTAAAATTTTTTTTTTCGCATCCAATCGATAGTATCGAAAGAAATCCATACTTCACGAAAAATATCTAGGAATTTCGAATATTATGTAATGCTTTGAAAGTGTCAAATGACGCAGGGAATTCGAATTAGGTTCTCACATACCTTTTCTTATCTTCAGTCTCAATTCAGTTCGACTCCAGATATGCTCAGTATGATTCATATAGGTATGGCGACAAATATTGGCACTCATTCTCTCAATATTGTTCGCTCCTAAAACTTCGTCAAACCGAAGGGATTTAGTGACGAAAAAGTCATTGAGACTGAAGCATTACGATAAAATTTATAATTCCAGGATTTTTTTCGTGAAGAATGGATCTCTTTCGATACTATGGAGGAAGACGAACTTATAACATATATAACTGAAAGACTGAAAGACTTTTTGAATCACCCTGTATCCAGAACGGGAGGAACATTCTGATCGATGAAGGGATATAGGAGAATTGAAAATTCATTCCCAATTCTCATTTACGGAGATATAATCAGAAAATATAATTTATCCTGCCTAGCCAGTAATAAAAGTACACCCTTATTATTAATACCTGTTAACTTTCATAGAAGAGCCACTATCCCTGCCGCTTGGAGAAAGATATACTATCATGAGATTTCATGAAAAAACTGCCACAAGGCTATACAAAATGTTTACACCGTCTTGGTCATCATACTATGTTAGTCTGGTACGCAACAAATCTTGATACCAGACCAAGCTGGTAACTTCATTAAGTTTACAGTTTATACCAAACTGACCAAGAGTATTTAGTCAAAATACAGTCATTAGTCAGCATACCAAGACACTGTATAAACGTGGCCAATTTACATCAAAGGATCCTAGTCGTATCGAGTTCAAATCGGTACCTATATCAGATTATGAACAATTTCTGTTTTACAGGGCGGACATATAAAGATCCATCTGAATTCTGACATTCCTGTCCAAGTAGACGGTGAACCATGGGTACAAAGTCCTTGTGACGTCGTAGTTTTAAAATCCGCTCTGAAGGTAAGTCTTTTCGTCTCTCATCGTACTATAGCTATAGACTTGTTTATCGGAAAATATCATTATTCAGTTTATGTTCTTTCAGATAACTTAATTGGGAAAAATGACCTCGATATATTGAGAGCTCTCATATAACTACACTTATGATATCAGAGAACATATTTTCCGCGTTTCAAGCTTTCGCAGCATGTTGCTACATGATACGAGGATGATACAAAAACATTTAAAATTACATTCGAATTATTGGTGATGTGCTAAAAAAATTATGATTTTCAATTGAGCGTTGCTGTTGAATCATCCTCGTTGTATATTGCTTTGAGTTGATGTACCCTACCCTCCCCTAAAGCTACCTAGAAAAAATCTACAGCTTTGTACAGGAAAAGCACAAATCGAATGCAGTTGTCGAAATGTTTTATTAACATTTTCCATGTAACTTGTGAAGTCTCGCGATTTTTTTTAATGCAAATCACTGCACTATAGCCAGGAAGAATATTAATTTGATGACAGAAATTGATCACGAATGCATGCAATACTCTATTGTACATCGTAAACTGGTTTTCATCAGTGTAGTAAGTAGTTGAATCAATTTAAGGTTAGAACTGTAATCTATAAATACATACCTCCGAATTAGGTACATAGTTAACCCTAGAGTCACTGGATGGTTTTAGTTAGATACGAGTTTGGACACAGAAATGACGATTGTTAGTGTTTTCGAATGTTACTATTTATCAAATTAGACACCTTGCAAGAGCAGCAGAGTCGTTCCCCGCTTGTTCATTCAGAATTGTTTGGATTTGACAGTACATTTGATGAAAGTCAGAATAGAAATTCAATTTCAAAAACTATTGAGAAGGAAGCATAAATGGAAATTTTCTGCTGTTTAATGAATTGTGAGAATCCTGAAAAGTTCGTATGAAAGTAATGTATATGAAACGGTCGGGAAACGGGAAGAAAAATTAATGTGATGACTAGCAAAATATGTGAGATACATGCATTGAAATTCACTCCTATAGCAGCAGATTAGAACGAAACTATATTATAGGTTCATTATCAAACAGGAGGTAAAAAAAATAAAAAAATACAATATTATCATCACACGAAATGCAAAACGAAATTATTATGGAAAAGGAGGAATATATCGCAATACTATACCGGGTGGCTACGGAAGTATTGCCTACGGAATATCTCAGTTATTGTATGAAGTAGGTTTGTGAAATTTGGAGCGTCGATATAATGACATCAGAGCTAGAATTTGAGCATATTGACATTTCGAAGTTAACTTTCGGTCTGACCGGAAGTAACATCAACTTTCTTATTTTAAATGGAAACCCTATTTTTTTTTCTTTTCGCTTTATTCAGCATTCAATTTCCTTTCTAATGACATATCACAAGTTGGTATCTAACCAGAAACTAGATCAGAAAAAAATTATTATTTTCATTCGTCGGCGTTATAAAAAGCCGCCCAAAAAAATATTGGAAAAATTGGGAAAAAAACAATACTCTGTAGGTCCATAACTTAAATAGGAACATACAACTTTTTCTTGCCTGTACTATTCAGCATAACCATTCCTTTCTAATGATATAATAGAACCTACAGGATATTATTTATCATTCCACATTATTTTTAATTTTATTTTTGCGTTTTCAATCTATTAGCAGTATTAGCTTTCATTTCAGAAGTGTCAGAAGGAATTTCAATAAGAAATGGCAATATTTCACAATGAAAAGTATGTGAGATTACTATTTACCTGAAAAATCATATTCCTTCGTCTCTCGCTGCATTTTTTGTGCATTGTATAACAGCACATGAGAAGGCATGCTCGAATCAATGAATAGCGCGGAAAACACGATTCGTATACCAAAATATTGTGAAGAACTATTTCAATCCTTCGATTCCTCTGTAAACAAATGGAGAAAGTGAGGTTGTGTTTAAATTTTTTATAGAAAAGTGAGGTTGTGTTTAAATTTTTTATAGAAAAGTGAGGTTGTGTTTCGATATTTTACCTCCAGGGTCGGTCATCGTGCGCGCTACCAATTAGGGAAATTGGAAAGATATGAAGCAGGATAATGTGTCTTATTCTTTTATACACTCAAACTATTGTAATACAGTAAATAAAAAGGACGGAAGTTCAGCTGCGTTGGAACTCTCATCTAACTACTACCATCCAGTGACTCTAGTGTTAACTGTACACTCTTGAGTAATAAAGATAGGAAAACCTGGATAAATAGACAGTAGGTATACATTTTTATTTTTGTAATACATACAATCATTGTTATATAATTTCAATTCAACAAATCCATTTTCGACACTCATACTTTATACTTTGACATATTTTAGTGGGAGATTACTTTTTCTTCCTACTTTGTTAAAGCAGATAGATTTCGTTACACAATCATCAATAATTCAGAAGAAAAAAGATCTTAACCAGATGTATATATCTTTGGATACTACTGACTGACTACAACTAGAGTTCTTAGTTTTATTGGTTGATCTAGATCAATTCTCACTTGCACACTAGCGAATATTTAGTAACACGCTAAAATTCAATTCTGATAATATTCACACGATAAAACGCTTTTCTGTAATGAATTATTAAAGTGCTCAAAGAATAGAGTGGTACACTCCAAATGTATTTCTATCAAATTCTAGCTGATTTTCGGATACCTATTGATAAATATTGGTGAGGAATGATACAAAGAAGTGAAGAAATGACTCGTCATCAAGTGGAAAGGAAACTTTTTTATGAAGCAATTTTTGGAGCACTGGTGAGAAATTGCTGCAAATAGTTCAAATGGATTTTTAGCAACTATAGTACCAAGCAATTGAAGTGGGACACCTGAAAGTTTCGGTCAGATTCGTAAGATTATAACTTCCAAAAAAATTAACCGATATCAATTCGGGATTCAGATTTCAGAAGCTCATTTATTTTTCTTCAGGATCCTGAATTTGAAAATCGTAAAAAATTGGGAATAAATATCTCACGGGGCAATGAATGGCACAGTGTAACCTTGCATCGAATTTGGAGTGATCCCATTTCGTCCGAAAATTTTTTGTTCTGGTTTTATCATATTGTTTCATGGAGTTTGATGTCATTTCTCTGGATAGTTTTTTTTATTTTCATCGATTGATGACACTTTTCAGTTAATATGATTATTCTTGTAAAATGTAAAAAATATATTGTCTTCTATTTCTAAAACTCTTCACAAGCACATTTTCACTGTTTGAAGAATATGGGAGTAGAATCTTCGTTCAGGTTAGTTTTTCTGTACGTTGATGTATTTTCATTATTTTGGATACCCTGTGTTAAGTTGTTGTGAAAGGTATGTCAATTTTGATGAAGCAAAAAAAACGTCTAATCAATAAAGTTTCATCTACAACTAAAAGACGATTCTTCGTGTACCTTATTTATATATAATTCAATAGGTATAATCAAGATAAGTGTAAAACGGTGTGGTTCCAGTCCAGCCGACTTATCAACATATAAGATCTTTTGGAATATAACAAATTACCAGATAATATAAAAAATTGCAGAAATACAATAAAATTCAAATACCATCTTAAAAAATTTATCATTTCTGAACGAAATAGATGACTTTTTTTTTCAACTTTTGATTCATATTCAAATTGATTTTTGCTCACCAATATGAAATGATTTGTCAAAATTTAATAATTAATGTTTTCAAATATTTTATTATTCATCAGTTTATTATAATTGTATAGTTTTAGGTATTATTGTTAACTATACTTCCTTATACCAGAACTTGATTCTGACTGGAAGTAACATTTTCAATAAATAAATAAATAAATAAATTCCATCACACTTTAGACGGTAACACACTCGTGGGGCAGCCGACTAAACGGGTACCCTAATAACACAATAACATTTGTAAGACGTCGTAGAAACATCCATATGGAATGATAGGAACATCTCTGAAAAATCCCTATTTTCCTTGGGACATTCTTGGGATGTTGCTGGCAACACCCGTGTCAGCATTTGCGATGTCTTATAAACATCCCATCAGATTGTTTGTGGGATTATACGGGATGTACCAGAGACATTCAGGGTACTTGATATGGAACATCTTGAAGAAACTTTTAGGATGTTTTTTATTTGATGACAGTGATGGATGACACGGTATGAATTATTTCCATTCTGAATTCCTGAAAATGGCCGACCTATTTGCAGATATAAAGTAACAATCCGAATCCGAAAATATAAGGTCGGTGCGGAGCAATAACCAAATGGAAGATGATAACAGTTGTTTGAGGCTCATATTTGTTGGCGCTCGGCCGACGGCTGTTAGTAACTGTTAGCAACGTAGTTGTACCGCCATCAATGAATATGCTGAAGAGATTTATTTAAATTTTATCGTTTATTACATGGTTCATGAAGTTAAGCAGGTACTTTGGTAATCTTATTGAGGAATATTTAGTATAATTATTTCAATTTGTTATCGATGAAATTAGCCGGCTTTGGTATAGGTATAAGGATATGAGTACGAATACAGTTTTGATTTCCATATTTACCAACTTTTCAATATTTCAAATGTCACAATTGTTTGAACTGTTCAATCATGTCAATCATCATAAGCAAATATGGAACCATGATATTGTTTATAAACAAAAGATCAAATCGGATGTCTCTAGAACATCCAATGAAAACATCTGATGGATGTCCCAAGGGAAACATCTCTGGGATATCGTACCTAAGTCTGAAACATTGGGACATTTGTAGGACCTTAGCGGGATGTACTAGCAAGATCCCGTGTTGTTAGGGTAGTTCAGATCGAGAGCTGCACAAAGGATTCAACACTGTTATTTGACCCATAGAAAATCAAAACCACTGAAGACCAATTCATCTATTGTTGGGAAGTTGATTCAATAATATCACTTTGATTGAGTTTTCCATGTAAAAAATACAGGGTCTTTGTTATGACTATCGGTATAAATGAGTTGTTGTCAGAAAAAAAAACACAGTCAAGTTTTTTCTGAGTAGAAGTTC